GTGTGTGTGTGTGTGTGTGTGTGTGTGTGTGTAAGAGAGAGATAGGTATGTGTGAGAGAGAGGTGTTCACAGAATCATAGTGGAAGAGATCACAAGGACCATCCAGTCCAACCCTCTGCCATTCAGTGTTTGTGTGTATGTGTATATATGACAATCCCTGCAGTGTATCTTCCCTTTGGGCTGTTCAGAGCAGGGAGGTGGTGGTTTATTCATGAATAAGCAAGTGGAAGATCACACACATACACACACCCCATGCTCAGACCACTTTCTGTCTAACCTGTTGTTGCTGCTGCTGCTGTTTTGCTCCTCGGCTAGTGAGGCCACACATGCATGCTTGCTCCTGTTCCAGTTCTTTCCAACACCAGAGACATGCTCCTCTCCTCAAGCTCCTGGGTAGCAGGACAGCCTATAGGGTGCTGGTGCCACTGGACCTGCTGTGGCCATCCTGCTGTCCGGAGCCAGCAGAGAGGAGCAACCATCCATTTGCTTACTCATGAGTAAACTGCCCTTTCCCTGCTCCAAACACAAGAGAAGGCATAGCGCAAAGATTGTCACTTCCTAGGAATAAGCTGCTCTAACATGACAATGATTTGACACACCAATATTGCTGGGAATCATGCTGAGAAATGCAAAAATATAGCAGATTATTGCTGTCTTATTTTGCCCTATCCGGCTCTGCACCAGCTTGAACGAGTGAGAAACGGGTGCTATCGTACACCTTTCTGCCCAACTCAGCCGCATCGCATACCCGATCCAGACTCCTGGTGTACTTTTTTGAAAAACTATACTTTCCTGTTCTTTGAAAAGCACAGGAGGAATTCAGAACAGGTATGCAATGTGGCTGAGTTGGGCAGAAAGGCGTACAGTAACATCTGTTTTCACCCATTCAAGCCCATGCCCAGCCCGTCCGTGCCCAGAATGGGCAAACTAAGATGTGCGATAATCCCCTTAGTCTGCAAAATCAGTATGTAAAGAGATCTTGTAGCACCTTTGAAACTAACTGAAAGAAAGAAATTGGCAGCATGAGCTTTCCTAGACTTCTATCTGCTTCCTCAGATCCATTTGGCGGAGTACTGGGAAATATTAAAATGAGACACTCCATTAAAAACAACAGCAGCAGCAAAAGGCAACATCATGATCAGATGACCTGATAGTGACATGACCACTACTGCCACCCACCTCAACTCCTGTTTTTGCTTGCTTTAAATACTTCTCAGGGGGGTTGACAAGTTGAAGACACCCCTCCCCATTGATAATCTCCAGCCCTCTGATTTGAACATCCACATATTGGAATATCTGAAGGCTCACAGGACTTCTGACACATCCCTTTGGATATTCAAATACTGTGCATTGAACTAAAAAGAAAATTGGAGAGCCAGTGTGGCTAGTGGTTTGAGCTGGACCACAACTCTGGAGAGCCTGGGTTCGATTCCCAGCTCAGCCATAAAACCCACTAGGTTACCTTGGGAAAGTCACACTCTCTCAGCCTCAGAGGAATACTATGGCAAACCTCCTTGGAACAAACCTTGCCAAGAAAACCTCGATAGGTCAGTATAAGTCGGAAAAGACTTGGAAGCACAGAACAGCAGCAACAAAAATGAAATTGTTATGATTATCCCAAGTGGGGATTTGAACCCTGGTCTCCAGTGTCCTAGTCCAGCACTCAAAGCACTATGCCATGCTGGCTTTCTTTCCGTTATAAAGAGCCATCAGGATACCCTGGAGCAAACGTGCATGTGATGCATATTGTTGTTGTGCACCTTCAAGTCATTTGAAACTTAGAGCAACCCTAAGGCAAACCTATCATGGGGTTTTCTTGGCACGATTTGTTCAGAAGGGGCTTGTCATTGCCTTTCCCTAAGGCTGAGACAGTGAGACTTGCCCAAGGTCATCCAATGGGTTTCTATGGCTTAGTGGAGATTTGAACCCTAGTCTCCAGAGTCCTAGTCCAGCACTCAAAGCACTATGCCATGCTGGCTTTCTGTGATGCATTCACTGCACCTCCTTGTCCCACATATGCAGATCCAGCTTCAATTTCCCATCTAGGGAATGAGCATATCAACCCCTGGCCTTGTATCAATACAGTAAGAGAGAGATGTTTCAGGTTTGCATCCCCATAAGCAGACATTTTAAATAGTGTGGAATTAGCATGGAGTACTTTGATCCTCGCTAGCGAGTCCTTTCAGGTAGACGTCTGCAGCAGCAATGGCCGACTGGTCATCAGAAGCAAGTGCGAGGGCATAGCTGGTGATGGCAATGGGGTAAGGACCCAGCGATTGATCATTCAGGGACTTGGCTAGGAAGGAGGTGGCCTTAGCCAGGCTGGTTTTCTGGGAGGGAAGAAGAAGAACAAGAGAAGAGTAGAGAGAGACTCCAAGTTACTTCTTTTTCACCCTTCTGCTTGCCAATGAAACCACCACAATACCTCATCCATTTTCCCTTGATGGGCAATTATGCCAGGGCAAGGGGCAAATTATGGCCCCAGGCTGCCATGGTGGGCCTCATTGATACACCAGTGTTTAAGAAGTGCTGTGACATCTTCTTTTGTCTTTTGCCTATTTTCAGGTGGTGGGTGGGTAAGATTATGAGTAACCACTGGGATGAAATAAACAAATCGACCACTTTGATTTTTAAAAAAACCCACCAAAATCTGTTTTTGGGGGGAATTTAAACTGGTTTGTCATTTACTTGTTTTGTTTAAGTCAGTTTTCTTTATTTGCATTCACATTTTAATGATAAAGAAATTGAATCCTGCTTATTATATTAATGTTGTGAAACATTATTTGATGCATTAGAACGTTTGATCAACCATGTTTTAATGCTTTCTAACATTAACAATCCAAAGTTATTCGGCTTTCAATAAAACTCTGGGAATTATATTAACAGGCTAGTAGCCTATGAACAGGAATATAGGATTACACCAATATAGGACCAGATCAGACAATTACTGTATCGCAAGAGTGTAATCTGTTCTGGAAGCACTGACACACCCACATCCATACACCATTCTCTCATGCATTCAGCTTTTAGGGTGAGCACAAACAGTGATGCCTGCTGGAATGTTATAAGTCTCTTGGCATTGTCTTTCTTTGTTTCGTCCTTTGCATCTTTTGTTACATGCTCCTGAGTTTTACACTCGACTTATCCATAGGCCATATCAAAATCCATAATTTTGGTCCCCAAAACTGCCTTCGACTTATGCATAAGGTCAATTTATACTTGAGTGTATATGGTATGTAGCAGTTAAGATGTTATGCTTTTAAAGCAAGTTGTTTTGGTTTAATTTAATCCCTGCCAGGTGTCACCCAATGCAGAGGGGGCTACTGGGGGGGGGGACTGGCAGCATGCTGGGGGGGTTGTGGTGGTGGTATGCTGGCTTTCCAGGCTTCGCTGCAACATGCACTACTACTCCTCCTCCTCCAGAACAGCTTGCAAGGGTGTGCACACTCCTCTTCCATCCCAGTCTTCCTCTCCAGAGAGAAAGCTCATGACTGGAGGAGGAGAAGGAGCACCCACATGCCCTTGCATGCTGCTCCTTCCCAGGCAGGGAAAAAACTCAGGATGGAGCAACCTGCAAGGGTGGACAAACTCTCCTCTTGTTCCTCCTCCATCCCAGGCTTTTTCTCTGGAGAGGAAGGCCAAGACGGAGCAGCCGGGCATGGGGAGGAGGGTGCAACTGGATGTACCCCTCTTCTGGGTGTCACCTCATGCAGTCTGCACTCCCCACACCCCCTAGTGATACCACTTATCCCTATGAACATGGCAGGCTGACTGTATTTATACCCAACGTTCTTCATTCATACCACTTGGCTCAGCTGTTCCATCTTCTGCCTTTGCTGGTCTGGGTCAGGCTCAGTATTTCCTTCATAAATAGCCAAGGCCTGCTTAAGTGCAATGGTGATGAATGCCGTAAGAGAGACTCCGCCGTGAAGGCCGCCAACACCACCCTAGGGAAGAAAGACAAGAAAGCTAATTTACAGGGAACCTGTAAATTAGGATGAATTTGGGAGTTCTTTTCCAATGGATTCAGTGACCATATCCTCCAATGTTTCACGGATGAAAACTGGAACATGTGTGACCAAGCAACATCGGAGCGTAGTTAAGATGGCAAAAATTATTAATGGTGAAGTATAGACAATCTAGGAGAGGCTGCAGCAGTTTGTTTTTGTCTATAGAGAATG